GTCCGTGGGCCGGCGAGCGCCCGCTCAGGGCCCGCACGCCGACGCCCGCGCTGAGGGCCGGGGTGCCGCCATGCTCCCACCCCCTCCACAGGACCGGCCCACGAAGCAGCCCTTTAACCCAGGCAGGAGAGGCCGGGACCTCCGGAACTACTGAAACCGGGGTCAGCCATGAAGAAACACCGACACCAGACGGGCAGCTCGCGTCCACAGGTTTATTGAGCCTCAAGCGCGGTGCGCACAGCTGCCGCTGGTCCGCTTACAAGCGCAGTACCCCGTATCTGATCCGACTGAGCCCCGCACCCACCACCGACGCTAGGGGAAGCAACTTTTTCAGTGGTCACAGCTATAGTCAAACTGCCAAATGTGAGACATAATTATCTTTAAAACTGTGATGACATTGGATACAAAGTCCAGCAAATGCAAATTTATGGCTTGATTCCTCGTATGAGGGCCCTACAAAAATAAGGGGCAGATGTGATGGGAAAAGGTTAGTAACAGCCTAACAATACCAGTGTAGTGTACTTAACGTAATTTACCACAGTCGCAGGGCGCATGCCCGGGCACTACATTATCCGTTTCATCAGACCTGGAAATCTCAAACCATTCAGGATCCACATAGGACAGGTAAGTCTGATCTACCTGACAACTCCTAAAGGACTCTAGGTGTGCATTTGGGGTAGAGTAAAACCTTGTGAAAATTGCTGAGATGTAAAACTTAAGGTGAGAGAAATGTCTTACTTTACTACACACATGGGTGCAGGGTTCAGAATTCAAATAGCACTAAGCAAAGCACCTGGCTTTGGTCCCTGCGGGGTGGTTATCAATCTCTAAATCACAATCTCTGCATAAACTTGGAGGCCAGGGGCAGGCACCTCCTCCAGGTGCTCCAGTCTCCCGGCCATGGCCTTTAGAAATCTACTCATGGAACATCTGAAGGAAAAGTTATTTTTATTAAATTGGCACTAAACTTTTAGGGATACAGCTTATATTAAAGGATTCCCAGATCCCCAACTGTATTAAGATCAAAGTACTTCCTCAACTTACATTGGGCAGGTTACTTTTTATTTTGTTAAAACCAAAAAGACCCACACCAGAGTGAAACTTACTTAAACTTCAAGGAAAGCCATGCTTTTCTTCAGTGCTGATCATCTTAGACCACTTAACAGAAATGCCCACCCAGTGTGGGGTTTAGGTCAACTTGGTGCTGCTCCTTCCAAAGCCCAAGTACTCCTGATGGGAACGTGACATGCAGAATTTACTGCGCACTTTGCTGAACACCAGGCACTTCGCATCACTTCCCTTCCTGAAAGGTTCTCACCAACAGCAGGAAGGCAGGACTGCCAGGGTGTGATCCACGTCAGTGTGGCTCCAAGTCCTGTGCCCTGTACACAGCCCCACTGCCCTAGCATGGCTTCTCTGCTTCTGCTGGTGTCCCTCACAAGCAACTCCTGCAAAGGAAGGGGCAGGCCCTCCGTGGCACAGTTCACTTCCTTTCCACAGGTGGAGGATACACTTATGCATGGCCCCAGGATGAACATAGTTGACTTTTTTTTTTTTTTGGCCAGTCCTGGGGCTCGAACTCAGGGCCTGGGGACTGTCCCTGAGCTGCTTTGGCTCAAGGCTAGTGCTCTACCACTTGAGCCACAGCGCCACTTCTGGCTTTTTCTGTGTATGTGGTACTGAGGAATCGAACCCAGGGCTTCATGCATGCTAGGTATGCATGAGCCACCTTCCCAGCCCATAGTTGATTTCTGAGGTAACACCTACTCTTTAAAATTGCTACCTTTCTCACTTTGAGGCTGAGTTGCTTTTCAGTGTTCATAAGAATTACCAAGGGAAAAAACAGCTGGAAGAATTTCTCTTGGTGTCCCTCCTCACAGATGTGAAAAGAATAATAAAAAAAAATAAGTAACTGATAGTTCCAATGTATTACACACTCAAAAATCAAAACATATGCTTTCTGAGAGCACAGAAGACGTTTGGGTGAAGTTTGATGCCTTTTTTGGTATAAGCCAATTATAGGCTACTAAGAAGATAACTCCTTGGCAAGATAAAACAATCATCTCCTCTTCTGAAATGGCAATTTCCTCGTTCTTAAGAATGTAGTCTTAGACTTCACAATGAAGTGAAAGTAGGGAATGAGAAGATGTCCTCACCAGCAGGTTAGTCTTTAATTGCACATACGAGGACATAATAGAAAAGGAAATGAAACAAGTCTCTACCTTCATGAGGTCTAGATACAAGCTGTACAGGAGCTGAATTAAAATGAATTTTCTTATTTACTATAACTAAAAGATTAATTTCTTTTTTGTCGCCGTGGGGCCTGGGCACTGTCCCTCAGCTCTTCAGCTCAAGGCTAGGGCTCTACCACTTGCGCTACAGCACCACTTCTGGCTTTTTCTGCTTATGTGGTGCTGAGGAATCAAACCCAATGCCTCATGCACGCAAGGCAAACACTCTACCACTGAGCTACCTTCCCAGCCCAAGAATTCCTTAAAAGAAAAAAAAAAAAAGGCTAGAAAAAAAATCAAGAATAAAGGCACTTGGCAAGTAACTGACTAGTTCCAAATCTTCAAGTGGGTACAGAAGTGGAGCACAGAGACTGAACTGTTCTAGCCCAAGTACTCCCCTCCTGGCTGAGCCTTCACAGAGTGCACCCTTGCTCTGCCCCCCAGGCCTGCAGAGCAGCCAGGTGAAACTCTGGTGAAAGGTGCACAAAAATCAACTGAGAGCTTGCTCCAAGGCAAACCCTTCAGGGAGTAACAGAGTTGGTTTGGTTCACTATAACTATACATTAAGAGCTATATAAGGAGAAAAAGTTCAAAAGCAAACCAAACTTGAAAACCTGAGCATTTTGAGTGGAAATTGGTTTTGAGTCTGGAGGAGTCTGTTTATAAATATGTGCCAAGCTGGAACATGTGGGCATTGGGCTCTGATTGGCCATCAAAAAGTGGGTAGCAGCTGGGCACCAGTGGCTCACGCCTGTAATCCTAGCTACTCAGAAGGCTGAGATCTGAGGATTGAAGGTCAAAGCCAGCCCAGGCAGGAAAGTCTGTGAGACTCTTATCTTGCCTTGAGCTGAAGAGCTGAGGGACAGAGCCTAGGCCCAGAGTTCAAGCCCCAACAACAACAACAAAATGGGTGGCTAAGCAGCTTGGCACTCTTCAACAGTCCCAACACAAACCTGTGTACTTAGGGCTCCTGGATCCGAGCAGCACTGACCAGGGGTGCTGCTCAGGCAGTGCGCTCAGCCCCCTAGCAAGGCACCAGACTCTACCTGGATATATTTCTCATTCATTAACAAGCAGAGTAGATTATTCTGACCTAAAATCAAGTACTACAGCACCTACGAAGTATTTATTTTTCTTTCTGGCAGGGGTGGAGGTGGGTCAGAGATCGGAGGGTTAAAATGTTTGGATTTTTACTGGTATGTGAAGCCATGCTCCTGAAAGTATGGCTATTCAGGTTTCTCCATTGGTAATAGCCATTACAGTATTGACACTATCCATGTTTTTGTTGTCCAGGATGGGACAGTTACATTCAAAATGACTGGCAGAGAGCTACAGCTCTCCAGTAGGTTGACTAAGACACAATTGCAGAGGAACAAGCATCCCCCTCATATTTTCTTTCCTTATAAACAATGAAGCTATAGGAAAATAAGATGGATTATACTTGCACAGTTTTCTAATAGTTATACAGGAATTGCAACTTCAAAAACTACATAAGCCAGGTGCCAATAGCTCATGCCTTTAATCCTAACTACTCAGGAGGCCTGAGATCTAAGGATCATGGTTCAAAGCCAACCTAAACAGAAAAGTCCATGAGATTCAATTTCAATAAACTACCAAAAAAAAATCCAGAAGTGGAGCTGTGGCTCAAGTGGTAGAGTGCTAAGCCTTGAGCAAAAAAGTTCAGGGACAGCACATGAGCCCTGAGTTTAAGCCTAGGGCCAGCACAAAAAGAAAAAGAAAAAAAAAAACCTACATAACTGAAAGCCAATATATGCTATATTTTTAATATTCAACATGTATTCGTCTATCACTATGGAAACTGTTAGGCATTTGTTTTTTAAAATGTATTTATAATGTAGAACAACTGTATAAAATTGGTGTGCAAAAGTTCATCATAAAAGGTTAACACTATTTCTTTAGAAACAAGTTGCTTCCCCTATGTATATTTCCTTATTCTTGTTATAAATTGAAGACATATACTATTTAAAAATAATGCTTTTTAAATAGTAAAATATACAAGAGATTCCTGAGCATAACAAAAATATCTTGAAAATATGTGGCTGTCTGAAGTATAAAATAGCAAGTGTTAAGAATAGCATGATTGTAAAACTACTATTTGAAGGCTTATAAACCAGTACAAAATAGCTTGCCTTTTCTGAGTGCATAATTATACATACATTAGTGCAAACAAAAATGGCTCAAATTTAATGGCTACAAATCTCAAAGATTTGCAGACGTGCGCAAGACATGGAACTTCTTTAGCGTCATGCGAACTGAACCCAGTTCTCGATTGATCTTTTCCAAACGATCCTCCAACGCTTCCTAGGTGGGAATAATGGTAAAAATGTAGTGAGAATTCCACATCAAGTTCACCAGTTTTGCAACCACCAAGCTCATATTATCTTTTAACAAAAGAATAAGCATTTAAATTCCAGATAGTGACTTTACTTTCCATGCAAATCCCTTTATCATTATTTCTTTTGTTTCTTCCCCTCCCCCCTCCCTCTCTCTACCCTACCCTATTTCTGTGTTACTTGGGACTTAATCCATGGCCTCTCTCATGCTAACAAGTGCTCCACTCTTTGGGCCACTTTCTCAGTCCTACTATTTGTTTTAAACTGAACAATATGTCAATATCACAGTCCTTCAAAGTAACTATTGCACTTCAAAATATTCTTAATGTTTGGCATATTCAATATTTGTACGCCTATAATCACAGCTTCTCGGGAGGCAGAGATAAGGAGGGTCAAGGTTGGAAGCCAGTCTGGTCAAACAGTGACCAAGTCCCTATCTCAACAAAAATAAAGGTGGGCATTGTGTTCACATGCATAATCCCATCTACACAGAAAGCACAGGCAGGAGAATCTGGTCTGAGAGACCCTATCTGAAAAAATAAGTAAAACAATAAGAGTAGATAGATAGTTGAAGTGGTAAAGTGCCTACCTACCAAGTGCGAGACTCTCTTGAGTTCAAGTCTTAGTACTGCCAAATATATATGCAAATTCTAGAAATAATAATATAAAAATGGAAGGGAAAGCAGGGCGCTGGTGGCTCACGCCTGTAATCTTAGCTACTCAGGAGGCTGAGATCTGAGGATCATGGTTCAAAGCCAGCCTGGGCAAGGGAAGGCTGTAAGACTCTTATCTCCAATAAACCACTAGAAAACGGGAAGTGGCGCTGTGGCTCAAGTGGTAGAGTGCTCGCCTTGAGCTGAGGGATAGCACGCAAGCCCCACCACTGACAAAAAAAAAAAAAAGAGGGGATGATTCTTCCACTTTGATAAATTGAGAGCGGTACAAGAAAAGCCTAGGAAGCAATTGACACATTTCACCAGAAGAAATGGGCACAACAGATCAAGCTACAGCCCACTCACAACTTCCTTCCAACAAAGGAAAGGGAAAAAAAGCCAGGTGTCAATGGCTCACACCTGTAATCCTAGCTACTCAGGAGGCTGAGATCCTACGACTGTGGTTCAAAACCAGAGTTCGAGCAAGAAAGTCTGTGAGAGTCTCATTTCTAATTAACCACCAAAAAGCTGGAAGTGGAGCTGTGGCTCAAGTGGTGGAGTGTTAGCCTTGAGCAAAAAAGTTCAGGGACAGTATGAGGCCCATTTGAAGCCCCAGATCTGGAAAAGAACAAAACTGGAAACTTCTAAAAATATATATGTATATACATACTTCACAATTACAATGAATAACAATTAATAGTATCCGGAATACATATTTATCATTTTAGATACTTTACTTAGTATTAACTCCAATGTTATCATAAAACTTCTGATTTTTATCTTTAGGGCTAGGAACTGCTTTTTAAGCACAAGGCCCTGCGTTCAAACCTCAGTACCACCAAAAATAAAATTATACATATACTTATGTTTTATATATTTTAACAAGTTTATCTGAAAAAGAATTGCATTATATTATTCATTATATTCAGAAGACAGATAAGCAAAAAAAGAAATCACTGTCCCTCTTTCCTGTTCGTTCTGCACATTTGCACACCTTTTGAAAAGAAAAACTAATACTTCCAATATTTTTCAACTGAATAATTCCTTCTCTTATAACATCCTCTTGAATCAATATATATCATTCCACAAGTAACATATCTAACCAGGAAATCTTTTGAGTAGAAATTTAGGTTGCTTCTAATTTGGGACACTATAAATAAGGCTGCAGTAAGTTTCTTAAACACATCTCCTTACAATATCTATAAATATTGCTTATGAATCATTCCCAGAAGTAAAACTGTGCTAGGTTCAAAGAAATGCAAAATTCTGAGGCTTTAGATCTATGTAGTGTTGTATTCCAGAAAGTCTGACAATTTCAACTTCCACTTGCATTGTATTAAAACAAGCTTTTCTGTGCTTTGTTGTTTGTCTGAAACTTTCAGTTGTCCTGCCACTGTCTGGGTTAATAAGTAAATGCCTGTAGATTTTTCTTTGTTTTGCTGGTCTTGGGCTTGAACTTAGGGCCTGAGTGTTGTTCTTGAGCTGTTATGCTCAAAGCTAGCATCCTATCATTGAAGCCACAACTCCACTTTAAGCATAGGAGGCTAACTAAATGGAGAGAAGAATCTCCTAGACTTTCCTGCCAGGCTGGCTTCAAAACACGATCCTCAGATCTGCAGGCTCCTGAGTAGCTAGGATGACAGACTTGGTCCACCAGCACTCCGCCCCAGCCCCTTTTTCTGCCATTTTTTTTTTCAATGGACTGAAGCATTGATGTGCACAAACAGGAACTATTGCCCTTCAAAAAGTCTTATTTTAAAAGGAACTTACCACATTCATTTATAAATATATTAGCATTTCAAGGTGATTTAGAATCAGTGTATCATATTTTCCTTCTGTCTTCCTAGTCAACTATTTTAACTTTCATGTTTTGAATCCTATAAATTATTCAACAAAAATCTTCGGGACAACAAGCAAATACTGAAGGTCAGAGAAAAAGGCAAGGCAAAAGGCCCTCCACTATTTTCCTTGGGTCTCTGCTACCAAAAATCAGTCTGAAAATGAACGTTAGCTGAAGTTAAGGCACTGAAAAGCTATATATAAAGTATATGCTTGCTGTTCTGCTTAAAATGTTCCTAAAGGGGCTGGGAAGGTGGCTCAGTGGTAGAGTGCTTGCCTTGCATGCATGAGGCCCTGAGTTCGATTCCTCAGCACCACATAAGCAAAAAGAAAAAA